TATACCTCATGAGAAATGGCTTCTTGAATCATTAAACACACGAAAAATCATATAAAAATAATGTTTATAACATATAAACTTTGTATATTTAATTAGATTCCATATAGACAAATATACATTAATACTTTAAAACATCTGTATGGTTGTCTGTCTTTATAAATAATATCAAACTTGTTTAATGTAGTTTCATGAGTCGACTAAATTTTATAACTCTTTATTAAAAATTTATTTAAAAAAAAAAACTAATAATAATCCGAAAATTTATGAATTTTTTAAACTTAAATTTAATTCTTCTCTTATAAAATTTTTCTAAAAATATCTTAATAAGAATATTTAAAAATTATTTTGTAATAATTTCATATGGTAATCCCGTAATTTAATAACATGAATTATTTTTTAAATTTAATAAAGTTGGCAACATTTATGAAAATTTTTAAATTTTCTCTCATCCAATTAGATTTAAATATAACGTAATAATCAAAAATACGTTTTAATTGTTACGTCACTTCTTTAATAATAAAATTTAAAAACAATACAATTCTTACTGTTACGTCATTGCTTCTCTTAATGATGAAATTTAAAAATTTAATTTATAAAATTGTTACGCCATTATTTTTTCATAATAATAATTTTTTGCGTCATTATATTTACTAATAACGGGGTTCAAATTACACAATTGTTACGTCATATATTATTGTAATATAGAAAAATATATTTGTTACATTGTTGTTTATCGTAATAACGATTTAAATTATACAATTATTACGTCACAGATTTTATAACGGTTTAAAATATTCAAAATTACGTCATTATCTAGCGCAATATTACATTTTAAATCAATAAAAACTATTTGTTTATTTTAAAAAAATAATAATAATAATTTTATAGAACATTACTTTTATTTTGTTACAAGTCAAATATTAACTTTCTCTTAAAATATTAATGCATATTTATTCATGCAAAATTAATGTTTTTGGCCAGACAAGTAAAGAGATTTTTGTTTATTTTCATTTAAAAATCTTTGTTGAATGCAAACTTTGAATAACAATAATGTCTATCATTTCTCCAATGCCAAAATAGATTGATATAAATGTTGTAAAGCGAAAGTTTAAGTAATAACATTGTTCTAGTAACAATATTTGATTACTAGAATTTATCTTCCTTTATAGAATATATAATTTTAGTAAGATATGAGGGAGCATTATTTATAACTAAATTAAATACTACAAATTAAATTAACGTAAGGACATTATCGTGCATTAAATTTTGGGAATGACGAGAATCTGGGCATTTCTCCAACAGAATACAAGGGAGTAATTTCAGGGTCGCGGTTAAATTAACTATATCTTCTTTGTTTAATACATAATTCACCCACAAAATTCTAAATTTTGTTAATAATAAGATCATTTTAATAGGGAGAAATTCTGTAAGTTCGAAAATTAAATACTGTAATTATTTTAGTTCCTGTTTAATTGGATTTTTGATATGTATTTTTAACATTAAGATTGCTTTTAACGATTATTGTGTTTGTCTGTAAGCAAAATTTTTCATAAAATACATGAATTAGAGATTTCGAATTTTTAGGATTTGTAGGTAATTTAATTTTCTTGCATAAGTTAGCGTTAAATTGAATCTATCTATTTCCCTAATCTCTTAAAATCTCTGAATATAAAACTCTAATTTTCTCAAAAACTAGGAAAGATAAAGTGTTTGAACTTAGTATTCTCTATGCACGTTTGTCCATCTATCTGATCTTCTATTTCGATTTTTTATCTCTTTGTTCGTACGTGTGTTTTTCCGTTCACAAATTTTCTCAAGAAGCAAACGGCGCGAGAATAATGGAATTGATTGATTGATGCGTGTAAATTACCACTCTTAAATTATTAAATATAAAATGTATACAATTTTAAAAATATCCTAAATTACTTATTACAAAAATTCAATTCGTTTTTTATACTTATTTTAATTTTTTTTATAAGACGAATAAGGCTAATATAATGATGCAGAATGCCACTCTTGCTATTTATATACTTCAATAAAGATTTTCATTCGTTGTTCCTTCATCTCAGAGATAATTAGGAAGACGTTTCAAATGATAATCCATTAAGAACCAGAAAACTATTATTCTAATCTTAAATTATTCGCATGATAATTAACAATCTTAACTTTCAATTTTCGATGTCCCGAAATGATTTCATAGATGAATAAATTTATTTTAATTAATTATTTCTAAAATTATTATTTAATTAAATATATTAATAATGTAG